CTCTCATGGATCCCGGGTGGGATTATGCAGCTACTTTGGAAAATAGTTTGTCAGTTTCTTAAAAAATAAACATACTTGAACCATATGATCCAGCACTAACACTCTTGGGTATTTACTCAGAGAAATGAAAAACCTACCCACACAAAGGCGAATTTACAAATGTTCACAGCCATTTTATTTGTAAGAATCCCTAACTGGGAACAACACAGGTGTTCTTCCACGGAAGAATAGTTAAACGAATTGTGGTATGTCCATACCATGGAATATTATTCCTCAAGAAAAAGGAAAAAAAAACTATTAATATGTACTACAACTTGGGTAGATCTCAAAAGAATTATACTAAGTGGAAAAAAACAAACTCAACAGGTCACAGAGTGTGTTATTCCATTTAAATGATAGTCTACAAATGACAAAAGTGTGGAGATTGAGAATGGATTAGTAATTGCCAGGGGTTAAGGATGGGGCAGGAGGAGGAGGCAGACATAAGTATAAAGATAACAAAAGAGAGATCTTTTGTCATGATGGAATAGTTCTCTGTCTTGATTGTGGTGATGGTTATGTGTCTACATCTGATAGAACTACACACAAACACAAGCAAATGCAGATAAAGTTGGTAAGATCTAAATATTGCATATGAATTGTACCAAATACATATTCCTGGTTTTGATATTATCCTGTGCAACAGAACACAGGTAAGATGTTATATTGGGAGAAGTTTGATGAAAAGTATATGTGCACTTTATAATTTTTGCAACTTCCTGTTTTTCTATAAACCTTTCAAAATAAGGTTTTTTTTAAATGTAGTATGGCATCAAAATGGGGGTCACCTTTCAAAAATTATCTTAAACATATGACTAACTTTATTTTGTGAAATAATAAAACCAAAGCAAAAATCTGTGGTTACATTATGGCAAAATAAGCAAGAATTATTCTTAAACACAAACTTATTCATTTGTATAAACAGACTATTTTCATGTTTCTAAGAGCTCAATAGCTTCAATTATCAATAATGTGTTTATTGATATTTTCTCACAATTGTAAAATGTTTACTTTTATTAGTAAACAGTTTTCCAGAAAGCCTACCAACAATATACATTTCTGTACAAACATCCTCCTGTATGATTTGCAGACTAGTCGCATCCACCTGCCAAAGACACGCAACAGTTGATAACAGCCACTGGGGGTCAGCCTTTGACATGGCACCTGTCAAACTGATTCCACACCCTGTCTGACACCTGAAGCCCAGATTTCAGATTCATAGAGCTCATTCCTCTTTTCCTATTACAAGAGTTCAGCAAAAACACACGGAACTATTTATTTTCATGGTAAACATATCCAGGACTGTGGAAGAGATAACAACAGTTTTATATAAATCCTGGTAAAATAGATCTTAGTTAATGCAGAATTCAACAGAGGACTAGTATCTTCCTAACTCTAGAGTTGGCAGCGTTCCTTCTCAGCTGCATGGCCTTGCCCTGTACCCTCACCTTAGCAGTTCTCCATTAGTTCCCATCTAGCCATGCTCCTCACTGGGAACAAAGATCCAGATTCTCACACAAATGGCTGGGAAGTAGTCAGTAGTCCCAGTAGTCAGAAATCAGAGTAGAAAAATGGCCAATAAGAAGAAGAACATAGTTTGGGAAAGGCAATTAATAGAGAAGAGATGTTAGCTTCTTATGGCTGTAGCCAATGAAGTGAATTTTAAAAGGAGAACTATCATGAATCACAGAGGACAAAAGACAAGGAGAGAAATAAACCAGGATTGGCACTGCCTGATTCCAGAAGTCGGTTTTGGACCTTTCAGGTTCAAACAAAATATCACTGAATCCAATTGGAAGAATATGACACAAAAACACAAAGCGCTAAGCTTCTCCACTGCAATATGATGATGGCAAGGGAGCAGACCCTGCACATGGATCCCGAAAAATGCTAATCCACATTGCCTCCAGTTGGTTCCAAGAATAGGTGGGTGGCCTACAACAAGATTAAATAACAGCACAATGGACCACCTGTGTTGCTGCTGTTACAGAACCCATCAGTCAAAGTCCTTCATAGAAGGAGAACAGATTATACCTGCCCAGGGATCCCAGCGTGTTCAGTTTCACAAATGAGGCATTGCTTGAGCTAGGGGCTTCAATGATCAGATCTCTTCCCCATTTCTAAATGGTGTTCGGACTCTGTGACCTGCATATCCCCAAATGATTTAATAGAATGATGTCCCCTATTCACACTCTTTGAAAGTCAAATTTAGTTTGTACCAAGGGATTTCCAAGAGCCCCGGTGCCTCCTTTGCCTACTTTCCTATTCTTACTTGCAAGGTGAGTTGTGATCACTTGTTGTCATCACTTTGGATGCAAGAGCACTAAGATAATAGTTTAGCATATATTAAGAGAAGTCTGTACAAATCACTGACTTGGAAGCCTAAGTGTAGGAGGCACAGCTTGCATCAAATGTCAACGAATAGGGTCAGTGGTGCTCTAAGAGAAGTAATAACAATTAAACCCATCAACTTTCCCTGAGGTTGAGAAAACAAAAGACATTCCAGTGTACAGTGGCCTCATGCCAGGACACTGCTGAGACTGGAGAATAATCAGACAGCAGCCTGAAGAATGCTATCTTCCAAGAAGAATGTGCTAATGAAAATTTTCAGGAACAGTAGTTTCCTCAAGGTTTTGACCAGAATGTTAATCAGCCAGGACCTCAAAGTCTCACCGGTAAGGTAAATATTCTCTGGCAGGTGAAGGCAGAACACACAGACATCTCCCCTGAGGAAATTTACAGGGAGTAAAAGGATCCGATGTTATACGCGCACTATTAGCTTTTTAAAGTAACTGTAAATCAGCTTGTTATTGATGAAAGATTGAAATATCACCTAACCTTTGAGGACGTAAGTATAGCTTATGGCAGAGGCAGGGGCACAAAGTTAAGAAAAATGCTGCCCTGAGAATGAACTTGGGATTTTTCTGGCCTCCAACGGGATTAAATAAATGTTCCTTGCCTTTGGCAAAATAAAAAAGTTAATTTTGAATCTCAGCTTCTATGAATTAGCATCAATTTCCCCTTAAATCATTTCTTTTGGTCAAACTTGCCGCTCTAAATTTTCTTTTGAGAGGTCATGTAAAAGATTATAATGAAAGATATAATAAAAGATTATCATTCTCAATAACTTATTTATCCAGCTATAAATTCCGGAAGTTCTGAGCTACAGACTCAAGCAGGATGGCGTCAAACTCACATGGGGCGATGGGAACAAAAAGCCACTTTGTACAAACCTAATGTAGCTGAAGCCACAGTCCGGTTACAAGTCTCAAAATCTCCCTTGTACATTCCCTGCGTTCAGAACCGCCAATACCTTAATTTCTGGCACAAAGACCTGTGTCCTATGTCAACGATTGTCTACTCTATTTGCGATAGCCAGAGGGTTGCCAGGACCAAGAACAACCTCCAAGTTCCCGACCCTCACGTTTCTATCCGTGAAGGAAAGGAATCGCACCCATCACATAGGATTGTTATGAGAATTGGGGAAAAGCCTACGACCCATCACGCAGTAGGCGTTCTGTGCACGGGAGTGGTTATCTCTTGAGCATATCAACCAAGCTTGAACACTGACTGTGGGAAAGGTCTCGGGCGGCAAACTGGGCTTGTGGGTCCAGTGTAAGAAGCATTTCTAAAAGCCAACCAGTCCTTGCCATCCCGTGTTATCTTAGGGTGTTCACTGGCTCCCTCAGCCAGGAGCGTGGTAAGAAGCGCTGTCTCTCTCCACGCAACGGCTGGCTCAGCAGCACTGGCAAGCAGAAGCATCGTGGAGCAGGAAGCCGAAACCGAAGTCCCCGGAGGGTTTCGGATCTTGAGGGCTATCAATATTCGTTGAAGTCTGAGCTTTACGCACAGACTTATCTCTGCTGTGGTCGGTTTTCTCGTTCGCCGCTGCTTCCTAGCCTGACGCGTCTCTTCCTCCCCCTCACCATCACGGACACTCACGGGAACCTGAAACATTTTTGCGCCATTTCTCTTCTGGGGGGATGTCAGAGTCTCTGTGCAGAACTGGAGGTTACTCAGATTCATCGTTCATTCCTTACTTTTTGCCCTTCGAACTTGATAACTGTTTCCTTCCTAAGAGATAAAATTCCAGTCTCTCCTTCCAGTAAGCTCCATTTTCCTTTCACTTCTGAACAGTGAACTACCTCATAATTATTATCCTAGCCACGAAATTCTCCCGGAGGCTTCCTGTTCTCCTATTTGTTCTCATGGATAAGAGAATGAAATGTGAGCTGAAAGATAATATTATAAAGACCATTTTTTATCTGAATGAACAATGCATTGAAAGAGTTCTCATTAAGACTTCAGGGTCAGGCTGGAGTACAGCAAAAGGGAGATGAGAAGGGGTTTTTGGTCGAGATCATAGGGCTCTGACCTTAATCTTGTCTTGTTGGAGTATCTGAATGAACACAAAACACATCAGGTTTGCTGAAGAAACAAAATGTGGAGAAGGAATTAAACATTCAAAGGGAAGAAGGACAGGCTGGTAAGAGATGCTTTCTTGATGTAGGCAGCTAAATGCACACTCTTGGACTCCTAGGGCAAGCCATGGAGAATGTCCCCATCACTGCCTTGAGGAACAGAAGCGCATGTATGGGTGCTCTTGCATTTCTGGCAAAGGATAATAAAGATAACAGAAAGGAGAGAGTGGATGCATTGATGAAGAGATAGAAGAAGTATTTCTTATTATTCTACTCACAGAGGCATGGAGTAGGGCATTTGAGGGAAGTAAGAGACACACAGTTTTTGATCTCACTCAACCAGCCGTGTCCAGATTCACAATGGCAGACAGAGATAAACAAGCAGAAAAAACACAGTAAATAAAATAGATCATAAAGAATAGTCAATAGTAGCAGATCCATAACTGACCCAGATACTACAATTAGTAGACAGTCTTTAAAATACTGTTATAATCATAAAAAATGAATGATTAATAAAAAAAGAACAATTTCTTTTTTTAACTTTTTAAAAATATTTATTTATTTGAAAGAGTTACACAGAGAGAGAAGGAGAGGCAGAGAAAGAGACAGAGAGAGGTCTTCTATCCTCTGGTTCCATCCAACTGGCCGCAATGGCTGGAGCTGCACCTATTTGAAGCCAGGAGCCAAGAGCTTCTTCCTGGTCTCCCATGCCGGTGCAGTGGCCCAAGGACTTGGGCCATCTTCTACTGCTTTCCCACATCACAGCAGAGAGCTGGATAGAAAGTGGAGCAGCCGGGACTTGAACCAGCACCCATATAGGATGCCAGCACTGCAGGTGGTGGCTTTACCCACTACGCCATAGCACCAGCCCCAGAATGAACAATTTCAATAGAGAAATGAAGTATTTATAGAAGAACTAAATAAACACGCAAGAAATTAAATATAGCCAAAATTAGAAAAACATTAAATGTGATCCAACAGAAGAAAGGATCAGTAAGCTAGTACAATACAGTATGGAAGTTGTTGAAAGAACTAAATGAGATAATTGAGTGCATGCATGAAAGGGTTTTGCAGAATATATGTGCTGAATAAATGTTGATGGATTTCCTTCCTTTTTATTGAGTATCCATCTTTTTTCTAGTTTACCCTCTGGATTTGGAAGAGAACCATTTAATAAGATATTCAAAATGCAGAAAAATTTGATGATCACCTTAATACTTGAAGTGGCTACATAGTGAGGGGCTATATAGAAGGACACTATTTATTTTTGTTATCTACCTTTCATCTCAAATTCAAGTATTACAACTGACAGATAAAGTAATCCTAGAAAATGCCAGTTCAGGGAGTAAGAAGTATGGTCACAGAAAAAAACCATGCCAACATCCATGAAGTCACATTAGCAACACTTCTGGGTTCAATTAAATCTCTATCCAGTAATAACACTGGCTTGCATTTAATGAGGGAGGTAATGAGAGGGCATTTGAATTGTCTCTTTAAGCAGCCAAGAACTTTTATGGTTGTCCTCAGAATAGAGCCAAGGACTTAATCCTCATCTATAAATTGAAGACATTTGATTAGATAACTTCCATCTGTAAAAATTGCATGGTTCACTAATTATTCATTATAGAGGTCTAGCCCTTTAGATTTATCTCACGTGGGTCAATTTATGTCTATTCGACCTAGGTGGAATGATGCTATAAAGAAAAAAATATTGTTTTGCATTGTATGTTGGCTTGCTTTCACATAGTGCACTGCAAAAAAATAAAAACAAAGATCGATAAGGACAATTTAACCTGAAGGTAATTTTATGATTAGTAGAACAGCCAATGGCTTCCCTTGTATGGACTATGGTTAAATTAGGTAGGTGGTGGGGAAAGCAGAATTCTAAGAAGAGGAGGCTCAGAATTCTCTCCTATCATTTCTTAGCACCACCTTCTTTTCTGCTGTCAGTGACAAAAGTGATACCTTATTTTCTCTTGTAAGAGCTCTTTTCTTCAGACAAGAACCAACTCAGTCTCTGGATTGAACTTTTCTCAGCACAGAGTATTTCCATCCAGTGTGTTGCATGAAGGGCAGGAAGGAAAAGTAGATAGGATACGTTTCTCCCAACATTTGAACACCACTTTCTTTAGTAATGGCTTTGTCCCAAATAACTACCCAATCTTTTGTCCTGATTTAAAACACTGCTTCCCAGCATAGGTGTCTGAAAGAAGCAGGAGGAAAAACATTAGGGAAGATGTCTTTTCAGTAATCATTAACTTTTTAGAACAAATTAACAGTATTTCCAGTGACTGATGACAAGTGCTATTTTTACAGCACTCTAGGCAAGTTTTAGCACCTGGCATGGGGCCGCCATACTACACTGAACAGTCTAACATTTGTAAAGTTCTAGAAAGCAAATGGAAAGATAACCCTCTCTGAAAATCTGTATAATTCTTTCCTATGGGGAAAGGCACTCATAGCCTTATCTAAATGTGTAAATACCACCCCAAACACTTTAACCCAATTAGGGACACAGAAGATAATACAAATCATGTCTCTATCTCACCATGACAAAGCCTTGCTAACAGTTTCCAATGATACTCCAAAGATCCTTTTGAAAGGAACTTAAATAAGAGAAGTTCAATATTTCTCAAACGTTTTGGGTGTGCAATTGAATGTGATAACCCCACCATTAAAATTAACTTTTATCTTTAAGCTATTTCTTCATGGAAATTTTTATGACAATAAATTTATTTTTTGGAATTCATAATCAGCCTATCCATCAATAACTTTTATTTTAAAGCAAAGGAGTACTCTGAACAGAACTGTATTATACTCTGGGGAAGGTCTGGCAATTCAAACATGCTTTTGCTAGGATCAAATTATAGGTTGAAATTGAGGAATATTTTAAAGTACACATTATCTTTTTTTAACTTTATTGAGGAACAGCTAAAATTGTATATATTTAGCTATACTATTTGATGATTTGACATCATGTGCATTGATGAACTATTAACCAAAATTAAGATAATTAACATGTCATCGCCTCACATAGTTATCTTTTTATGTGTGGTGAGAACACTTAAAGAGTCTCTTCCCTTTACACATTTGAAATACATACTATAATATTGTTAACTGAGATCACATTGTTATACAATAAATCATCAGAACTTACTTATCTTGTATAATTGAAACTATAGATCCCTTGACCAATAATGCTCTTTATTGCCTACCCCCTAGCCCAGTTAACCACTCTACTCCCAGTTTCTAAGAGTTTGACAGCTTTAGCTTCCATATATAAGGAACATATACTTTACTCTTCTATCCAACAAATTTAGCTCTCATGTGTCAAAACCAATCTTAACATGACTATGATGTGGTGAAAAAAGCAGAAAATTAAATGAAATCTGCCCTCATTGAGCTTGGTCAGGTGGGAGAGACAGACATTAAATATTTTAAAATTTAGATAAATATATAATGACAAAATAATGGGTTACTGTGAGAGAGAATTGTAGGGACCTAATTTGCTTTGGAGAATGAGGTCACAGAAGTTCTGTCTGAGAAAGGAACATTCAAATTAAAACCTTAAGGATGGAAAGGATTATTTTTTAAAGATTTATTTTATTTATATGAAAGACTGAGAGAGAGGTAGAGCCAGAGAGAGAAAGAGAGTCTTCCATCTGCTGATTCATTCTCTAAGTGGCCACAATGGCTAAAGCTGAGCTGATCCAAAGGCAGGAGCCAGGAGCTTCTTCCAGGTCTTCCACACAAGTGCAGGAGGCCAAGCACTTGGGCCTTCTTCTACTGCTTTGCCAGGCCATAGCAGAGAGCTGGATCAGAAGTGGTGCCGACGGGACTCAAACTGGCACCCATGTGGGATGCCAGCACTGCAGGCCAGGGCTTTAACTCACTGCACCACAGAGCTGGCCCTGGATAGTATTTAACCAAGGGGATTGTTGAGGGAAGAATTCCAGGCAGACCACCAACGCCATCCAGGAGTGCTCAGCGACTCAAGCTTCACCAATGGAATCAACCATCAGGTGAGATGATTCTCATATTGTATTTCTAAAAATTGGAAATTCCTGGATGTTATCATGGAGTTGTATCACCCTTCTGTATAGTATCCATAAGCACTCCATTTATTCTCCTGACTGAATAGAATTCAACATTTATAATAGCTTAAGGTAAACTTTAGCTAACAAGTCTTGTCCAGCTAATTTCATAGAAATTAAAAGCTTGCATTTAAGATTACTGTGTTAGTTATGCATATCCTACCAATGGGATCAGAAAACCATTAATAAATACATACAATTAAATATCTGTAGATGGCTTCATCTGCAGGAAAGATGTGCAGAGTAATATTTCTTTACAAGAAGATCATCTTGCCATTCAAAATCTATTTGAAGAATGCCTAGAAAGTCAATCACACAACCACGTAACTTATTCTAGATTGTAGCTTTGCCATCTTCACAGGTTTCACAGTGTTCACAGACTACAGTATTAACAGAGGAATGTGTATATATAGTCCAAAGTCTGTGGAATTTCATTTCAAATCTCTGCAAAAGACAGATTCCTTGAATGCATCATATATGACCATAAGGCTGCCTATGCCACAACTAATTTGAAGCTGTTGTAGACATCATATCATTAACTTCATTATCCTCTTAGAAATGCATTTTCCAAAGTATATTTTGTAGAACACCAGGTTCAAAGGATATTAACAGGCATTACTTAAATGAGAAATTTCTTATCTAAGTGTGTAGAAGGGCACGTTTTTACCTATACAAAGGAAAAAAGCTATTGTATAACACTTTAGATTCTTCCTATGATAATGTTCACTGATAATATCAGATGTGAAGTTTCACTTGTGGTAGTTCCAATACACAATTTGTGTAACCCTTTTCCAGGGATCATCTATAGGAGCTAGCATTCTCTGGAGCATTTGGAAACGCTGCTCTCATGAAAAATCACACGTAGATGAGTGGAGCAAGATAACCAGAGATCATCTCACATTGGCTTTTATAAAATATTAGTAACAAAGTCTTGTAAGACTTTTTTAATGACCTTATCACATTAAATAAAGAAAAAGAATTAACACCAATAAAAACTAATAGTCAATATCAGTAACTCATTATCTTAAGACTTGCTTTAGCTGAGTTAGATTTAAATGAGGACATACAAAGTAGTTAGAACATATCAAGATGATCTGTGATGCACCTACTATTCAATTATAGTGAAATTCAGCCTCTGTTAGAAACTGCAACTATTACACTAGGCCAATTTTGATTTTTATTCTGTTGACGTAGTTGTATGTCACAAGGTCTATAGAACACACAAGCTGAGATAGCAAACCATGTTTATCGGTCTTGAATGTGTTTCATCCAACATTACAAGAACATGCTCAAAAGCATAACACCTATTCTAGAGCTAGCTGGCACTGATTTGTCAGCCATGCTTTCTGATGGCTTCCAAACTTATTGAAGACATTTCCATTTCCACTTAGGATGCAAACATTTCTGATCATTGTGCCCATGAAAATGTCCATGAAAAACTGGATAACTTGGAGAACTGTGATTGCAAAATCTAATATAAAATCTAAATCTAATCTAAAGAACTAAACTCCAGAGAGGGAAAAGACCTCTCTAAGTGACCAGAGATTTCTGGCTATTCCTAAGCATCCTCTCTCCCGTGGGGTAAACTGAATTTACCAAATCTGAGTATGAACAGTAAATTGGCCAAAGGAAATGGATTCTTTGGGAGGAAAGAGAAACCATAATAGCCGTTAGCAGCTGTGCAGATTGGGCACAACGGATCAGAATCTGGGAGAGCATCAAGTATGCAGCCAGTTCTCACCACGGGCCACTCTGTATAGGACTTCCGGCGACTACTGGCAGTCAGAGGAAGCCGGGGGTGAGCAGGAAGAACAAAGAGGAGTATCTTGAAGCTCATGGTGCTTTTCAAGCCGGCTGTCATTTCACTAGACCAAAAGCAAATCAATTGTATTGAAAACTGCCATCTAGTTTTGACCAGCTGATATCCTGATTGGCACAAAATGATCAGGTTTTCATATGTACTTTCTGCAGGTGGGAATAACATCACCTTCAAGATGTAAAATGTCCTTAAACGTATTCTCTGCCATACAACAAAAATGCAATACGATGTGAAGCCAGAAAATACTGTATACACTCAACAGTCAACAGTAGACGATCCATAACTGACCCAGATATTACAATGAGTAGACAGTCTTTAAAATACTGTTATGATCATAATAATGGAATGATGAACAAAAAAAAATGAACAATTTCAACAGAGAAGTGAAGCACTTATAGAAGAACTAAATACACATGCAAGAACTTAAATATAGCCAAAATTGGAAAAAACACTGAATGTGATCCAACAGAAAAAAGGATCAGTAAGCTATACAGTATGGAAGCACCTCCAAAAGTTAAAAAGACTACCATGTTATATCCAATGATACAACTAATGGATATTTATCCACAAGATCTGAAATAAGGGTCAGGAAAAAACATTTGCACTCCCATGTGTATTATAGGATTATTCAAAATTCACAACACGTGGAGACAGCCTAGTCCATCAACAGATGAGAGGATATTGAATCTGTATGTAAAATACATGAATATAATTGAATATTATCCAGCATTTAAAAAGAAGAAAATCCAGCCACATGCAACAGCATGGATGAACTTGGGGAACATTATGCTAGGCGAAATAAGCCAGCTATAGGGGGACAAACATCATGTGATTCCAGTTATAAGAGGTATCTAAAATAGCCCACAGAAGCAAAGAGCTCCATAGAAGTAAACAGCAGAATGGTGGTTCCCAGGAACCAAGCAGAGAACAGTGTTGCTGTTCAATGGGCATACAGTTTCAGTTATGCAAAAAGCAACAGCTCTAGAGCTCTGCTGTAAAACATTCTAGCAAAATAGAAGCAAGAACAATAGAAATATGCAAACTGAAGTACAGAGTGAAGAAGGCTTTAATAATAACAGAACAAAGCCTAGCAGTTATAAGGTATGCTATCAGAGGACCCAGCATATATGTACTGGAATTCCAGAAGAAGAGGGGAGAGAAAGTAATACAGAAGCAAAATTCGAAGAGCTAACATAATCCTTCATGCGACTTTAGAAAGCACAGTATAAATAGAGTATTACAAGGAAGGGTGCGCTGATATCCAATAGGGCAAATAAAATGCATGAGGCTTGGAACTGCTTAACTGGCATCAAGTTGAAAATCTGAAGGTGGGAAGGAAGAAGTCTCCCCTTTGATGCATGGAGATGGCTGTGCTGTCACAGCCAGTTGGTGCAATCCATAGTCATCAGAAGCCCGCCAAGTGAGAATCCTTTATTTTCTGCGTTCCCCTGAAATTTCTGACACAGGAATGGACTTCCCTACCTCCAGTTACCCTATTTGTATTTACACACAAAAGCAGGAAAACAGTAAAACAAACAGATTAAACAAAGTTGGATGTCACCAAAGTTCATGTTTAATTTTTTTTTTTAATTCACTGGATAACTACCCCAAATTTGCACTTCATGTCTCACAGGCCTACACCATATCACAGAGGACTTGGACATGGAAGTTTTTTTTTTTTTTTTTTTTTTTTTTAATAGTGGGTGTGGTGCAGCTATGAAAAATTAGAGTTTTGGGGCCGGCACTGTGGTGTAGCAGGGAAGGCCACAGACTGCAGTGCCAGTATCCCATGTAAGTGTCGGTTCGAGTCCTGGCTCCTCTACTTCCAATCCAGATCTCTACTATGGCCTGGGAAAGTGATGGAAGATGGCCCAGGTGCTTGGGCCCCTGTACCCACATGGGAGACCTGGAAGAAGCTCCTGACTCCTGGCTTTGGACTAGCCCATGTCCAGCCGTTGCAGCCATCTGGGGGGTGAACCAGCGGATGGAAGACTTCTCTTTCTCTGACTCTGCCTCTCTGTAACTTTGCCTTTCAAGTAAACAAATCTTTTAAAAAAATAAAATAAAATACGGCCGGCGCCGCGGCTCACTAGGCTAACCTTCCACCTGTGGCGCTAGCACCTCGGGTTCTAGTCCTGGTCGGGGCGCCAGATTCTGTCCCAGTTGCTCCTCTTCCAGTCCAGCTCTCTGCTGTGGCCCGGGAGTGCAGTGGAGGATGGCCCAGGTCTTTGGGCCCTGCACCTGCATGGGAGACCAGGAGGAAGCACCTGGCTCCTGGCTTTGATCGACGCAGCACGGCCACTTTGGGGGTGAACCAATGGAAGAGGAAGACCTTTCTCTCTGTTTCTCTCTCTTACTGTCTAACTCTGCCTGTCAAAATAAATAATTAAATAAATAAAATAAGAATTTTGTTCGAAGGGAGAAAAAGAGAAACGACGTTGAGTAGGTACCTGAGAATGTCTGTCCCTTTAGTCAGAAAAAAGTTTTATTTATGAGCATTTGAGCTGAGCATTGAAATCCTGCTGGGGGAAAGACATGGAGAGAAGACAGGCATTGCAAGTTCACTCGAGTCCTGAGCTTTAGAGTCTCACTGCCATTAAAAGAGAACATGCAATATACATGCTGGGAGGAATGCCTGGATCAGTGTGAATTTTATTCACAAGGTCTAATTGAATTATTGGAAGGTTTAAAGCAAGACACAAATATGATGAATCTGTTACTTCAGGGAGATCAATTTGAGAGTAAGCAGAACAAAATGGAAAAGGAATAGACTGGAGATGAGGAGAATTTTCAGAATGTTGAAGTATAATCTGTCTTCGTGCCAGGATATAATCCCTGGATTCAAACGATAGCAGTAAAAGTGGGTAAATCAGGTGGTGGATGGAGGACTGATCAAAACGTCTATTCCCTTTTAAGCTACTATAACCCTTGCTTCTTATTTCAAGTCCACATCTCCAGAAGCAATCTCAGAAGGATCGCTAAAATCTCAACAAAAATGCTTAATGCTTAGCAATAGTAAACACCATTGCAAGCCAGTAAAGTGAACAGGCAGCCAGGTGGAAATATTTAATATGGTGGAAAAATTAGCAAGTATGGTGGAAAAATTAGCAAGTATGGTGGAAAAATCTAAATCTATGGAAGTATTTGAAAGGAAAAATGCCTTCACATATGTAACATTCCAATTTCTAGTACTTTGCATTCCACTTAATAATTCATATATTTGCAACTGTGAGGTTGTGCTCAATGTAAAACTTAGAGAAGTTATTGATCAAAACCCCAAATTTCTCTGTGACTTTATCCAGTTGAGAGTTTCTGATTTTGATGTGATCTTATCTCTTTTTAAAGGTATACTTAAATCCCAAACAGGCAGATTATTTATGGAGAATTTAATACCTTTTTTAAAAGATTTGTTTTGCTTATTTGAGGGGCAGAGTTACACAGAGAGGGAGAGAAAGAGAAAGAGAGCCCTTCCACATGCTG